CGACTAGTCACCTATCCGATAAGCTTATGCTTGTCGACTAGTTGCTTGCATCCCTAGGCAGCACTGGGGAAAGAAAGGGAAGAGACATTTGCAGCAAGGGCACCTGTCCAGCAAGAACTGGGGCACTCTATATAATATTACTTGTTCCATGAGCATCCCAGTCCCCCAGACAGCCATTGGGGCCATGGTGTCCAACCAGTTCTGAAGCAGTAGCTACTAGAGTGGCTACTGCTATAGCAAACTAATCACATTATTCAAACCACTGAGTCACATTCAACCGACCAAAAAGCCACATGTGGCTAGTGGCCAACGTGTCGGGCACCGTGGCATTGGGGAATCTTTTGACACTGTACTGAATTGGCAACGCATCTGACTTCAGTGAACCCACCTCCAGTAACAGCCACACTAGCCAACAACCAACTAGCCAGAAAACTGGCCCAAGCCGTGAAAGCTGTAAGGGCGTGATGTAGAGTGGCCAGGGGATGGGGTGGAGAAGTGGGTATGCATTTGTACACAAACCCCAAACAAAAGATAACATCCTGAGAGAGAGAAACCTTTATTAAGGCCAGCGAAAGTCCTGTATTGATTTCTCTTATCACCCGTTAACAAATGGGAGGTTTCTATTCTGAGCACAAGGCAATCTGTTTGCCACTCACTCCCTGACACTTCATCAGCAGAGAAAATGCATTCAGTGGCGGGACATGCTTATTTCTGAACTCATCATACAGTAACTTTTAATGGTCTGCCTACAGATGGCGATTCACAGATGTATTCCCATAACGTATAAATTGAAGAAAGCAGAAGTTTCCTTGCCAATATGCAGTGGGCCTTTTTTGTTGTTGTTGTTTTAAAGCTACTCAGCATTGCTCAGCTGATCTCTAGGGAGAACAGATGGTCATGTGGTTAAGGTGCAAGCCTGGAAGACAGAAAACGCTTAGAAGGTCTGGAGTCTATTCCATGTGACTTTGAGCAAGTACACCTCTAGCTGTGAAAGGAGGAAGATACATGTTTTCCTCCAAGGTGGGTAGCATGGCTCAGTTCGTTAGCATTCATGCAATGCTTTAGGATCCTCAGAAAGGGGAGCATTAAGAGGCCACCGTCAGTGACAGCAGTGCACTGCCTCAGCCGCACTGAGCATCAGTATTCCCACCACTCTATCCTGGCAAATTGGAAGAATTCCCTGGGTAGTACCAGCACCAGGGCAGGACAGGGGGAGAGGCCTACAGGGGCTGTTCCATCCATGACAGGTGGAAAGCATCCTTAAGGACTCCCGGCTGCGGCCCTGAACGGAGCAGAACTGTGGGCACTTCCTGTTTAGGTGGGTCGTGCTCTCCATCTCGGAAGGGGGCACCACAGTCAACCGGACGGGTACCAATTGGGAAATGTCTTCCGAATGCACGTGAGCAATCATTCAAAGACGCAGCATAAACACATCTGCCCTCACTAGGAGGCCCCTGCTCGGGGAAACTGAAGTTTAGCCCGCAACTCTACTTGCACTACTTATGGACCAGCTCCATAGGCATTTTCTGGTTTCTGCAGTTAAGTAGTTACCTTGCACTTGGTTTTCAAATCATGCATTTTAAAAATGTATATTGCTAGTCATCAGCTGTGAGCCGCTTCTGTATATTGGGTAAACCTCTCTCCTTTCTCATATTAACAACTGAAGAAACGCAACACAGCAGAAATGAAATCTTAGGTGAGGGGGAAGTAGGGACTAGAGCTGGGTGATTGTGAGGGGGAATGCACCCCAAGTTGACATTTAATGGGTTAATAAAGCCCTAGGGAGGCTGCATGAAAAGCAGCCAATAGGAGGAGGGCTGCAAGGAATAACCGATCAGGGACTGGCTGGCCCCATAAAAAGAGCTGCAGGGCAGAGTCGAGTCAGTAGGTGTCTGGAGCTCAAGGAAGACCAGGCTCCTAGCAAGAGGAAGGAGCGCCAGCACTTGGAGAGTACAGAACATGGACCACAGAAGCTAGAGAGCGCTCCTGGCTGGCTAAGACTGGCATGCTGAGAGCCAGAGGAAAGGGTGAAGAAGGCCCTTCCCACAGGGAAACGGCCCAGGGAAATATATTATGAGATCGGAAGGGACACAGCATGTAAGTACAATCAGCAGGGGCTGTGGACTGAGACCTGGATCCGTGCATGAGTCCAACTCCAACCTAATCCCCACTGAGGAAGTGACCAGGCAGTTGGACTGCAGTACCAGCCCTCCAGGAAGGGCAGAGCACAGATCATGGCATGGCCAGAGGACTGTGTCATGAAGAGGATGCTGTGGTCTTGAAGTAACATTGGTCTGGGAGCAATAGTGACAGCGAGTGACACACCAACAGGAGTGGGCACACTGAGCTGAGGAGGGAAGCACCAAGACGATCAGCAAGAGGTGCTAATGTGCTTAGTGGAGCCCGTTCACAACAACATTTAGAAATATTAAACAGATCACACACATACAATGCCTACACACAGAGCAAAGTCGCTTTAAGCCCGTTTATGGCCTTCTCTCCACTCTATTTGTTTCTATGCTATACAGAGGCTCATGCACTTTTATCTTCCATAGGTACCGAGTGCATCATCCCCATAACATATTCAGTTCTTTACAGCCTGAAATTTCTAAGCCAGAGCATTCTAGCGGCCACGGCCACAAATTGCTACTGCTGCTTCACATTAGTGCAGGCAGGGGGGAGGGGAGGAGGAAATCAGGATTGTACTTACCAGCCTGTTCCAATGCTACCAGCATAGACTGCTCAATGAGATCCCGCTCAATGAAGCTGCGAAATTCCTCAGTGTACACGGTGAGATCAGGTAACTGGAAAGTGCAAATGGGCATCTCCAGCAGATGTTCACTGCTACCATTGCTAGAGACGTGGGAGCGGGCCAAAGAGACAATGGTGGAGCTAGCGTGGGAAATGCCCCGAGACAGACGTTTCTCTGAAGCGAGAGAAGAAACATTAGGCCTCATCAGCATGTCTTCTACGTACTTCTCAAACCACTGCCCGCAACGTAAACGCATTTGACAGTCTTCCACTAGCATTTTTTTTTTGTGTGGCAAGAATCTGAATTGCCCTGGCATATAGATTTGGCAAGCCCTTCTGATTCTGAAAGGGAAGAAAAGCAAAACTGGACCATAAGCTACTCATACAAGTGCAGATCTCACGATTCTGTCTTACTTTGAATTAGCATCACTGCCCCTACCTTGGGCAAGGTCACATGAATCAGAGAGGTAGCCGTGTTAGTCTGAATCTGCAAAAGCAGCAAGGAGTCCTGTGGCACCTTATGGACTAACAAGTCTATAAGTCCAACACTTGTGTTAGTCCATAAGGTGCCAGAGGACTCCTTGCCGCTTTTGAAGGTCACATGAAGAGTCATTTCGTTTCTCTGTGCCTCGGTTCCCACATCCAACACTAAGGTTAAAGCCTACACCAACCAGGAAGCACGAGGTTTAATCTTGAAAGTGCCGTGAGATTTTCCAATGTAGCATTTCCAAACAGTGCAAGACAACTGCAATGAAGGGATTCTCAGACCCTTCACAAGCTGTGTGGGATGCACCACACAATCCTAGAACACTAGAACTGGAAGGAACCTCGAGAGGTCATCAAGTCCAGTCCCCTGCCCTCATGGCAGGACCCAGCACCGTCTAGACAAGTACAGCCTGTTATCAAATAACCACTTGAAGACAGACTGGCAGGGTTTTGATTTTTCACTTCCAAAAAGGCACAGTGGGAAGCAGACATGGCTGTGCACCACCTCGTGTAAGTTGTAAATTCTGGTCTGCCACAGGCACTGAAAGAGCCTCTGATCTAAGTAAGAATGGCCCCTGGTTGCTCAAATGCTTTAGCTTTTGGAATCTTCTCAGCTGCCTATGGACAGCAATGAAACTGTAACACCAGCAAGCACTTTACACAGAGGCTTGTAAGGGGTAGCTTAGGACCATTCATAACAGCAATGGGAAACCGAGGCTAGTGAGTGTAGCCAAGGCAAGGATTGCTGTAACCAAGATCGTCTCCTGGGACAGGGTAGTTTTGCTCACTGCACATGCGTACCTAGAACTTGCAGCGTTGCGCTGAATGAACACAGTTGGGTTGTGACTGGATTCAGAGGGAACATGCAGCTCTCAACCCATGTGTGCAATCAGTGAGTACCTCACTTTACGTGTCCTTGCTTTTCATGCATGTAACATCAGTAGGGGGGAAAAAAGGACATGGATGAAAACCAGCAGAATTGGATGAACAAAACGTCTCACGGGCCACACACAGAACTCCAGTAGGCCTCATGTGGTCCTCAGGCTGCCCAGCGATTTAGAATAACCCTACACTGCGTGTCTGCATCAAGGGAGCCATCCCCAGCTAGAGTCCAAAGAAGGGGCCAGAATCCATCCCACTGTATTTTGAAGGCTATCATTCTCCTTTGAGATGCGACTGAACGTGAACATGATCCAGTTGAAAATCAACCAGAAAAGCTGCTTTACCTTGAATGAGGTCATCCTGTCGCTGGAGTGGTGGCCGCATGGGTCGGGCGGCTTCTTTTTCCAGAGGTTTAAAGGTACGCCCTTCATTGAAGGAATGCGGCAGGTTCCCAGCGTGCACTTGCCTCAGCTGTTCAAAGTCACTTAGAGCTGCATTCACGTCCCAGTTTTTACCTAGTTTGGAAAGTAAAAAGAAGACTCAGCATTATAGCGAAAAAAAGTTACTGTGTCCCAGTTTTTACCTAGTTTGGAAAGTAAAAAGACGACTCTCAGCATTATAGGGAAAAAAAGTTACTGGTTTTGAAACGTAGACCCCACAGAAATGACTTAAATACAAGTCATCAGCCTGTTGTCAAAACACTAACTCCAACCTAGAAATAAACCATGTGAGGAAAACAGCCAACAAGCCTCAAGCAGAACTGGGTACCTTGTATATGCTTACAAGTAGAGGATGGAATAGGGAAATGTCTCCCATCAGTTTAGACTGTTCACATCCATTTCACTCTTTGAAAGATGCCTATTTTGTCTGCATGCAGCTGCACTTATTCACCAAGCTCGGTGTATCCCGACTAGTTGCTCAGCTGATTGAGGTCATGCTTAATATTGTTTTTGTAAGCTCTTCTTCTCTAAGAAATTTATTACAAGGTAAGCACTGCTTGCTCGCCAATAAATTTAACAGCACACAGCTTACCATTCAACATCCATGTTAGTGTCAGTCGTGCTTGGCCAAATTCGGCTCTTTTAAAAGTTGGCAATTTGGAATTCAAGGTACTGATCATTCATGTTAGGGAGAGGAAAAGGAAAGGATTTCTTCCACAACAAACCAGGAGACAAAACCGAAGTATGAAAGCATGAATGTTGCCAGCCTCACTAGTTAGCTGGAACAGTTTATAGAAAATTCAGAGGCACTACTAACTAAATGAGAAACAATGTAGCTCAACCGCAAATTCAGTGGAATGGACTATCTTTAAAGTAAATCCACTTCACTTTATCGCTATTCACCAATCTATCAATATCAAGTCCAACCATGTAAATCTTTCAGGATGCAATAAATTGTCCTTTTAGAAACAACTGTCATTTTAGACATAGAAAAAAAGATGCCACCAAGTGGGTTATTACATATGCAATACGGAGGATTTATTAACCTTATTTAGAGTCTTAATACATTGTTAATTTGCTCCTTTAAAAAGAAAGCCAACATTACATAGCACACTCACTGTGAGGAAACCATTTAAACTGCTGATTGTCCATGTTCTATTGTAAGCCAAATGAAAACAAGTTTCACAATATCTAATTTCCTAAGGCAAATATACTTCAAGTGTTTAACTTCTGAGAGATTTAATTGATAATGCTTAGTGACTGACTCTACACAGCAATCTGCTTAGTAAATCACCGAGTCAAGCTTTTATTTAAAAAAAAAAAAAAAAAAAACAGCATCAGGACCCCTGAAATCAAAACTTAATTTGCAATCACAAGTCAAAATCTGGTTCAGAAAAGGGAAACAAATATGATTAGGGGTTTGGAACGGGTCCCACGTGAAGAGAAATTAAGACGACTGGGACTTTTCAGCTTAGAAAAGAGGAGACTAAAGGGGGGATAACAGAATCTATAAAATCATGACTGGTGTGAGAAAAGTGAATAAGGAGAAGTTATTTACTTGTTCCCATAGCATAAAAACTAGGGGTCACCAAATGAAATAGGTAACAGGTTTAAAAATAAAAGGAAGTTTTCCCTTCACACAGCGTGGTCAACCTGTGGAACTCCTTGCCAGAGGATGATGTGAAGACCAGGACTTTAACAAGGTTCAGAAAAGAACTAGATAAATTCTTGGAGGTTAGGTCCATCAATGGCTATTAGCCAGTTTGGGTAGGAATGGGCTAATTCTAGCCTCTTGTTTGTCAGAGGCTGGGAATGGATGAGAGGAGAGGGATCGCTTGAGGATTCCCTGTTCTGTTCACTCTATCCTGTCGGAAGACAGGCTACTGGGCTAAATGGACCTTTGGTCCGACTCATGGCTATTCTTATGCCTCACTTGCCAGCACAGTCCAACAACTTCTACTGTTACACTGTGGCTTCAAGAGCTTAGAAGTGCAAGCAATCCACATCTGAATAACTGAGTATTACAACAACTTCGGTATTTCGATATTAGCCAAACAATTCTCAAATTTCCCCCCTATTTTCACAAATAAGGCCTCAAGTTTACATGGAAAGAGCCCAAATGGTGCCAGTTGTGAGGACTGCTCCAGCCATACAGGGCCTGCAGCAGGCTGAACCCAGCGCACCATGGGCAAGGGCACTCCAGCCCAGCCTGAACAGCCCCCACTCCTAGACTCAGCATTCAACAGCGTCATTATTCTAAATGCAACATGGAGACAGATACAGCTGTTCAGTAAAACTACCACCCAAAAGAGGTCTCCTCCAGGATAAAGTTGTAAGAAACAGCAGCAGTTAGTCAAACTTCATTCACTTGTTTTAACTACAAATGAACTGTGAACTCAGCTCAACTAGTATTCACTCACAGTTAACTCCTCTGCTAAAGAAGCTCAAATCTCAGAGAGTAAGGGCTTGTTTCTGGCTTCAAGTAGAAGCTGTAGGTACTCAGCCCCTTTAGGGGGTACGTGCAAGGCCTGATTTAAAGGTGGAACTCTAGCTCATAGACTTTAAGGTCAGAAGGGACCATTATGATCATCTAGACTGACCCCCTGCACAGTGCAGGCCACAGAATCTCACCCACCCCCTCCTAGAATAATCCTCTCACCTATATCTCAGATATTGAAGCCTTCAAATACTTTGAAGACCCCAAGATGCAGAGAATCCTCCAGCTGTGATCTGTACCCCATGCTACAGAGGAAGGCGAAAAACCTCCAGGGCCTCTGCCAATCTACCCTCTGCCAATCTAGCTGTATCAGACTTATGAAGAAAGGTGGAGTAAAGGGCTCTGTTCGGACATACCTATTTAAGGACTGAGACACAAATTAGGTAAGAGCAATAGGGATGTTAAAATGGTTAAATAGCATTTAACCAATTAACCTTTTTAAGCTAGGACCTGCTAACTGGCCCCACTTCAGCTGAGAGGTGCTGCTGATCCTATCGTGGCCTTAGGGTCCCACCGCCCGGCCCACCAGCCCCTTCACTGCCAGAGTTCACTGGCAAGGGCCAGATAACCGGTAAACATACCGATAAGCCTCAGGTTTTACCAGCGATGTTAGGTATCGGTTGTTTTAGTAATCGTGTAGCTGCAACAATTTTTTTGTGGTTACATGATTGCTAAAATGCTCCCGGGGGGCAGGGCCGGCAGGCAGTGGGATCCAAGCACCAACCATGCAGGCCCGCAGTAGCCCGTCGGGGAAGGGGGGACAGGCCCACTAGGGACAGAAGCTACTGCAGCATCCCACCTGCACCGTTAATTCGAACGACAACATGTACTCTCCCTCCGCCCCCTGTTGTCCCACAAGCACGGGCTCCTGCACTCACTCCCTCCTCTGTGGGAGGCAGCAAGGAAGCTCCATGAGAGCAGATAAAAGTGGGGAGGCAGCTTGAAAGCCAGGTTCCTGCATATACTGGCTCCCGCCTCCCCCCCAGTGCTGCTGCCGGGGAAGAGGAGGTAGCTCCGCAGGATCCGGTGCTTGTGGGGAGCCAGCTTAAGAGGTAGCAACAGGTGCGGAGGGAGAGTACATGTAGACGTTTGAATTAACCAATAAGCCCAGGCTTATCTGTTAATCGTTTAAACATCTATACGCCGACATCGCTAATTGCTTACTGGTTAGCCATTTAATATCCTTAGTAACATCAATTATTGGACCAACTTCTGCTGATGGAAAGGAGAAGCTTTCAAGCTTCATGGACTGCTCTTCGACATACCTGGGCAAGGTAACTAGAGCATCTAAGCCAGTGATGGGCAACCTAGGCTAGAGAGTGGGCCGCATGAGCAGCCTTCCTCCATCTCAGCAGGCCGTGAGCTTGTCTTAACTAAGACCGTCTCCAGGGATAGGGAAGTTTTGCATTTGTGTACCTAGAATGTGCAGGGTGTGCCGACAATTACAGCAGCGCTTTGATTGGATGCAGAGGGAACACACGACTCTCACAGTCAGTACTGTGTGCAATCAGCACTCACCTCACTGCACATGCCATGTGAGAGACTGAGAGAGACTTTAAAAAACTACACAGATGGAAACCAGCGGAACCTGGCAGCCCTGCATGTGGCCAACAGTCAACAAAATGTCTCATGGGCCACACAGAACCCTGATGGGCTGCTTGCCACTCCTGGTCCACAGGTTGCCCACCACTGGACTAAGCTAAATACAGACTGGGACAGATTAAGCATAAGGGGATTCACACATGCTGAAGGAGATTACTTAAATATCAATTGGGACAGATTTTTATTTTCGATGCTCCGGTTACAATCCCCAGATGGGAGAGCTCTAAAGTTCAAGAGCTTGTCCCTTCCACCAACAGAAGTTAAATAAATCACCTCAGTGACTTTGTGTATCTAATATCCATGGACCAACACAGCTACAACAACATTACAAAACAAGCATCTAGGGATTGTCAATTCAAGTCTTCCGGCCAATGATAGGTGCTTGATTAAAACAGAATGAGAAAAAGTTTGATATAAACAAAGACCGTAAAAGGTATCCTAGAGCAACACTAGTAACTTAAAAACTAAGACCGCCAATCACTGTACTGCGTACTGTTAAGTATCCTCTCCAAAAAAGATAGCCAGTTATGCCTAAAGTCACTGACACTGCCTGAAACAAAGGCTCAAATTCTCTGAATCACAGATACCCACTAAAATGTTATAAAAAGAAAATAGTCATGAGAATGTTTTTATTCATAGAGTCTCATCTACAGTGAGCACCAATTAAATTGTGTGAACAGCATTCTTCAAAATGGAGAGACAAGTTTTAGAAAATAATTACTAAGAGTTTTTAAAAGCAAACTTTAAAAATGAGATAAGTGAGTTCATTTGTTACTGCAGTATTTCAGTAATACTACTGCATGAACAGCATGTTTTATATTCTGCCGCCACTAGCTGGATTTCTCTTTTCTAAATCAAAAGCCTTCATGAGGACTGATGAAAATTTAACTGAACTAGTGCCTATTAACCACTCCTGGATGTGATCAACTGCTCACATTTTACTTTATATGGTTAATGGTTTAAGAATATGTGGACAATTTAATTCTTGAAGAACTGACACACAGAAATGTACGCTGCATTTGCCCTACAATTGTAAGAAGTTTCATTTCACTAACATACAAACCGTTCAAAAAACTGAGGAAAGGCGATATGCCAACTCAATAGGTCCTATACAAGAAACATTACAGCTCCTTCAGGTCATCAGCATTATACAACAAATGGCTAAATATAAGCAGATTTCTGCAATCTATTCTAGACACAGGCTTTATTGAAAAAATACCTTTTATCTTAGGCATAAAATATTGACCCAGACAAGGATGGGAAGGAGCCAAATAAGGAAGCCAAGAAAAACCTCTTGGTATATTTTATAATATCTTCAGCATGTCCTACAAACTCCAAAACTATTTGGAAGAGATAGTCATACCACTAGTCTTTCAAACTAGCTGTCCCCATATTAGCAGTAAAGTCTTAGATCTGACTTCACCACAACATTGCCATTTTTAATCTATCACCACTATCAGATATTTATGTAACTAAACTCATACTATAACACAGTAGTAACTTTAGAGAGATGAGAGGTAATCAACTATTTTATTGGACCAATTTAATAAAAGATATTACCTCATACACTTTTATCGTCTCAATATCCTGGGACTGACAGGTATAACACTGCACAAAGTAATTTTGGCAGACATACATAAATATCATACAAACTAAATTTTGCATGCACTTATTGTGTAGAAAAGGGTGCTCCACTGGGCATGACTGTTTAAATAGTCTATTGTAACTTAATACACGTCTGTGAATGATAATGCAGTATTTAAGTAGAGCCTAAAGTAAATTTTCACTGAAAAGTGAGTATGATTTAAGTAGCTCATACCCATGTGGTTTTGAAAGCAAATGGCAACATGAAATAATCTGATTTTACACACAGACTGCACTGACAGCTGAATAACTAGACTGAAAATAAAGGGCTCTTCCAAGGATTAGAACTTCAGTGGAGACAAAAAGGAAATTCACCATGGACTACGGAGGTCTGTCCACTACTTCTGCAGAATCTTTTGTTTCTGGAGGCCATGAAAAGAACATGCACTGTTAGAAAAATCTAACTGGAAGACAAAAGAACTTAGCACACTAAGCACAGATGATCTTGCCAAATGACATGTTTCCCATATTCTTTATTTTTGTATTGGAATCCTTACAACTGACACTGAACAATCCGTCTTGCCAAGCAAAGCCATTTATACTTAACCGTGCTAGAAAGTTAGATTCTAACCAAGCAACAAAGCAGGTACAAAAATCCATAGCTGTGTGTCTGGGCGGAGGAAAGGTAATAATTAAGGTAACGTGTAATCAGAATGAGCCAGCTTGAAATTCACATGTTCAGCTCTGTATAACGTAACTTTATACACATTGTATAGTTTCACCCTTCTAACATTTTCAACATTTTGGCTAATTTAGTTACATGAAATATTCCTATTCCAAAAGAGTTCAGCAGAACCTTACAAATCCCCACCAAAACCAACCAAACCGCCTTGGCGCACCTCTCAAACAGTGAGCAGCAAATTCAGTTAAAACACGGTTTTGTATTAACAGACTGAATAATATCTCACTCTAAGATCACCTTTCCTATTCATTCACACAACTATAACTCATCACTTCACATCTCGATTACAGCAACATCCTTTCCCCTGGTCTTAACAAATGTAATCTTGTCCTATCATATCCATTCAGAATGCTGCTGCAAAGATAGTTTTCCTAGCCCGTCACTTTGTCATTCTTCTCTTTGGATCCCTCTACTTGCTCCCTCTTCTCCATCACATATCAACCATAATTTACCTGTCTTTACTTGCAAAGCTCTTCATGGCCTATTCCCAACCCAGCTATCGCTTCTTTCAGCTTAAAAAAAAAGTCAACTGTCTGTCATCACTCGCTTGCTAAATATTCCAACAGGCAACTTCATGCTTTCTTCCATGCTACACATATTTGGGAGGAGTTCCCCATAAATACCCACAAAAACGCCTTTTCCTTCAAAAATCCATCTTACAAAAATTCTCCTTTGCTGCACTACCTACAGAAAGATTTGACAACACTTAGATGGCTTGTATACTGAGACCACAGATTAGCACACTGACCCTTATGGTCTAATTGATTTCCTGTGCTTCCCTACCGGTCTTTCTGTACCCATTTTGTACTTAGATTATAAACTCAAGGGGTTTTTTGTTCTGAGTTTGTATTGTGCATACCATCACGGATCCTGGACCAGGATCAGGGCTCCTAGGCACTATGATAATGCAAATGAAAAAAAGATAAAACTGCAGTTGTTCTGCTAGTGTATTATGAAAATTAAGACTACAACTGTCAAAAAACCCACAAGTTTTAGAGATGGAAAGAAATCACAAAATACCTCTCCATCCCAAGCTACAATATTTCTTCCAAAAGAAAACATTCAAAATCCTTAAATGAAACACTACCTTAAATTACAAACCAGAGGATATATAGACACACCACAAAACCCACACTCAGACTTCCTTCTAGACTATATTACCAGCTGTAAACAAAATAAAATCCTGGCCCCACAGAAGTAAATATGGGAATTTTGCTCATCACCCAAAGTACATGAAGCAAACACTCTATATATGAATAAGCCAATCTTCAGACCTTGAGGGGCATTACCAAGAGGAAAAACAGGAGCTAAAAATTGAAGCAAATTGCACCTACACTTACAACTTTAGGGCCTGTACCTCATTACTGATGCAGCTCCATAGGGGTATTAACTGCAAGGAAACTAGTGCAAATTGGGTATAGATCTTGAAATGTTGGCTAGCCTCTCCCCCAGTTGGATAAATACTGACAGCTGGTCCCATCATTATTAGCACTTGTAGTAGACTGACAACATATCCCATTAAAGAATCACTAGGGGGCTATGCCCCCTGCTCACTATGTTTGCCAACTCCCCTCTCCCTGTGGGGTAGGTATCTGGCTGGGGGGATGTGGCAGAGCAGGGGAGGGTGCAGGAGTCTGGCCAGGGGGGAGGAGTGGACGGGGGGTGCGGGGCCTCAGTGACACAGGGCAGCCCAGGCTCAGACGACTGAGGGGATTCGGCCCCAGTCACTCCTCCCCAGTAGTACAGCCCCCCAGGGAGTGAAACAGCCCATGCCCGGAGGGGACGGTGCCAAGACTGGCCACAACAAGCGGCTGATAGAGGTGGCCAGTGGTCTCATGAGGACATAGATGACATGATGAGGTCACACTGTCTCATGCAGGAAAAAATATAAATGGGAAGGGAGCCAGAGAAAGGCAGTTGTATCCTAGCATTGTAACTTGATTATAACTAAAAAAACAAACCCCCACATGCAGAGAGAAGTACTACCTACCTGAAACTGGATTTTTAAAATATCTATAGTTAAGACTGACAGAGGCTGGGAGATGAGCTGCTCATATTTTCCTCAATACTTTGTGACCCATTAGAAAAAGTGTTTATAAAATATTAGATGAGAGACTGGACTGAAAAGGTGATGTCATTTTCAAAAGCTAAAATTATAAATAGTTATTTTCATAACAGAGATGATTAACCTACACCATAGCCCTCAATCTTTCCAGACGACTGTACCCTTTCAGGAGCCTGATCTCTCTTGTATTGCAAGTTTGATCTCCCTTAGCTAACTTCCTTCCAAAGTCAGACAAAAATACAAAAAGTGTTAACGCACACTATTACTGAAGAACTGCTCACTCTCTCATTTGTACCTTACCATTATAAAAGAAATGTAGATGGGAATAAGCACACAGACTTGCATTTAATTATATCAACAAGTCACTGTCTGTATGAAATTTTAGTTTTCACTGACTTTGCTAGTGCTTTTTATATAGCTTATTGTGAAACTAGGCACATTTCTAGATGAGTTTATGTACCCCCAGAAGACCTCTACATACCAACAGCATTATGCGTATCTTAACCAGAGATCTACGCTAGGTCAGTGCTCCTATGACAAAACCAAAAATTGTATGTCATCAGAACGGTCACCTAAGCAAGAGCTAATATTCATACACAGATAGGAAACAGAATTAATGTAATGAGAAATAGCTGTTCCAAATTGGAGTTTACAAATTGTATTTGCTTTGGGATCTGCATGTCTAATGCACAACACATCCTCATGGCTGTGCACATTTTTGAAAGCTGTAATTTTTGGAATAAAAAGTTATCTGACTACTAAATGCACAGAAGGTTAATCTGATAGATAAGAAAAATTTCCTGTATTTTCAAAAGTATAAATTCTTAATCAAAGATCAAGGTTAGAGCAAAGTAATAGTAGAAGAATTTGCAGGTGAGTAATTGAAAGGCAAAAAGGGGACATTAATAATATTCATGTGCAATTTACTCCTCCAAAACATAGCCACTCTCAAAGTCTGAAATAGCCATATGGCACAGTACACAAACACCAACAAAGGCTCTTTCCCCAGTACTATTTGTTCAAGCTTTAGAAAACCCCTGATCAAACTGATTTTTGTTAGCCCTTTAGATGGTTATTTACGGTGTGTATCACCCAAGAATAAAAAGGCATATTCCAACACTATACTGTGCTTCTGTTTTAGACTTTCTACCCCTAGCAATCATTGAAGGTTCATTACTGTAGTGACACGGATCATGAGATCAAGCCAAGATTTCACTAACTGTGCTAATATGTACAGTACAACCCCCACTGACAGCCTACCTATGCCTTGCAACTCTTTTTACTATCATTTATATCAATATAAAACCAACTGCAGAATTAACTCTTCCTATTCCATCACACACTCATTACCTTCAAGTAGGTCTCTGGCCAGTCCTGGCTCTGCCCCCGTTGAGCGAACAAAATCCGACAAGACGACATCCATATCCAGGGTCATGTGATCATGAATTCCTTGCAGGCAGTTGGAAACAGCTGGGACATAGATCAAAGCTTAGTCTTCAATCTAAGAATGAAATGTACACAGCTCGTGTTACAAAGTATAAAATAATTAGCCTTGCAATCCAGGCTATGAGCAAACTGGGAAGCATCCAATAGCAGATGGTTCATTCTCCTCTTTAATCCTAAAACAAAATTGATTTTTTTTAAGAGGTGGGTGCTTGGCTGACTGTTCACTAATTGATAGAAAATATGAATTATGTTGCTATTCCTGTTTCCTAGAATACAACCTTAATTGTTTCAGTCCATCTAAATTATGCGACAGGAGCTATAATGGACTGCAATACCAGAACTTTTTAACTAAACCTAAATGAGATGCTATCCAAAACCAGAAACCCAGGTTAGTGGCTTTACTAAATAAAGTAATATAAGAGCCGACTAACCTAAAAAAAGCCATTCCTTTAGTCAGTAAGACTTATTTCAAAACCGTAAACAGCAAAATAAATTAGGTTACCGAGAGCATTTGCAGAAAGTTCTCTTATCTAGATATCTGTACTCAAAGCACTACATCCTTGACCTCTCATCTAAATACATTCTTCAAAGCATGTTTGAAGAAAAAAAGTAGAACTGCTTTTCTTAAGTAGAGGCAGTCTGTACAAAACACTACTTTCCAGTTAAAACTATTGCTCCTTTGGATTAGAATAGTTTAGCTATCAAACTTTGTAAGAGGTAGAGACCATTTCAATATGCACTTGATTCATTCTCTCTCACACACACACCGAAACAGCCAGAGGATAACTTGATCTGCAAAATCTTCCATTAAATTTTGCAGACACAAAACCCTCCACGTCCCTCTTAATGACAATGATGATGTACTTCATTTGGCGGAAACATGAATCAGCTTGGCAACCTCTGCAATTTTCTGTGAAAGATCTTTCTACCCATAAAGTCACTACTCTCCAAAGTGTACAGCTTCTGAAAGACATGTACCAAAAAAGATCCTTACAATGGGTAAATCTCTTCCTATAAATCAAACAAACAAGCCAGTCCTAAACATTTAAGTTCAAACACTAGACTTATATAATTGAAGCAGTTGAAAATCATACATAAGGGGTGCGCTCTGACTTATGCATACAAATACAGATTTGCTACATTCCTCTGGGTCAAAATCAAAGTAGGCATCCACAGACATTTGGACCAAGCAGATATTCTGGAGAGACTAATGCAGCACTAATAGCTAAAGGGGCTATTTTCAAGTCTCAATTTTCATGGAATATAAACAATTTGAAAAACTCATTTGGAACTGAAACTTGGCATATGAATCAGAGAGGGAGAAAATAATGGGAGAAGTGAAAGGTTGATTGCTATAAGATATTTCTAGTCCTTGTAGAGTACCCAATTTGCTCTACTAAATGTCAAATTTCTAGGCCTACAAAAATTAACTGCAAAATGGCATAAAGATCTCAAACTTGTAACTAAAGTAAGCAAAGCAAGCAAGAACTTTGAATTTTCTGGCTTTTGTTATCTTAATATAATTTTGTGCTTGCTAATCACACATGGAAAAGCCACAATATTTATCACTTATGCAATTTCTGGACTATCTTCATTTGTAGACTAAAGAAACATCAGCATACGCAACTATAAGGGCTTTTTTGTTTATTTTGCTGGCAGTATGCAAGGTCTCCTATTATAGTTAAGGTAATCAGGTATAGAAATTCTAACTCTAGGTCACACTCATATCCTTAACATGCCACCTAATTCTGACAAATGCTATATTCCATGTTTATACAGCTTTTAGATGAGAGCTTGTGAATTTCTGGAACCAAAGATAATCTCATATTTCCTTTTGATGGTTTCAGCAATTTTTTAAAAAGTTATATAGGAAAGCACTGACCTTTGGAATGGAGAGACAAGAAACAAAACAGCCTACACCCATAGCATTTACAGTTGCTTAAAAAAACTCCCTCATGCAAATGAATGTCAGTATCTCAGAGATGAAACAGATGGAAAACTTCAGCTCGGAAGACACAGTAATGAACTTTTTTTTTTTTTTGCTGATTAATTGCCATGGTTCAAATGAAGAAACATCCACACCCTCATTGAGAGAGAGAGAGAGAGAGAGAGAGAGAGAGAAAAACAACTACTTGTGCTTTCATGATCACTGATGGCTATAGCTAGGGCAAGACCAAGGTCTCAAAACTCCTTTTGGGACAAGAGCACTTTCTACTGAACACTTCATTGCCCAATATTTTTTAAAACCAATCTCTCAAAGAACAAAAGCGCAAATACATATTCTGATCTTAAAATCACTTGTACAGGGATTAAGGTCAGAAGAGACCACTGAGGTCAACTAGTCTGAGATCCTGTTTAGCTTTATCACAGGCCATAGAATTTCACCCAGTAATTCTTACATCAAGCCCAGTGACTTGTAGCTGAACTCCAGCACATCTCTAAATCAAGACTGGTGTCTCTCAAAGATGTCAAGAGATAGAGAACCTACCATATCACTTAGTGAGCAATTTGATATGCCCTTTGAGTTTGAATTTCACTAGTTCCAATTTCCAACCATTGTTCTTATTTCTTTAATCACAAATGTATCTGACTGTTACTATATTCATTCTCAACACTTCCCATGAAGCTTAAAACTATCCCACATCCCTCTTTTCCACTTTCCATTTAACAAAGATAAGCAAAGCACAGAGATTAGGTGGTTGATTCAAAGTGACATAGGAAGTTTGTGGCAGATATAAGATCTCCTGATTCCCAAGCAGTCTTAAACAGACTACCTACCATCTCCTCATCTACACATTGTCTAAATCGTATTATACAATTAGCTCAACTGAGGAAGGTAACCCATGAGTAGGGTTTCCCACTTGCTTGCTAGTACCTTTACATATCTATTGCTCTCTTCTTTGATCTTTATCTGCTTCTTTTTAACTATCCAATTATCCAGGTGCTCATACGTTACAAGTTCTGCCTACCTTGTTTTTCCCTTTGATATTTCCATACCCTCTACTCCTTGTTTCCTGACACCTTCTTTTTTTCCTTCCCCCCTCTTTATTTTGGGTCTGCACATCCTAAACTCAAAACTCTGGTCATCAGAAGAAGTGGGCTATGTCCACAAAAGCTCATGATCCCATCTATATGTTTTGTTAGTCTATAAAGCGCTACCAGACCATTTGTTGTTTAAGTTTATTAATGTAAAAGTGTTCGGACTGGTTTTAACATACAACTCATTTAAAATGCTTGCAGGAAGCACCAATGAGGTTAAGTCCTTTCTGTGCTCTTTGGAAGTTCATCCACAGAATCAGAGATGCTTTAGAGGGAACATTTTGTTTTTCCTCTCTCCTCCTCAAAACCCAGTTTTTACACACACACACACACACACACACACACACACAGTCAGCATAACCTCAAAGAGTTTTAAAATGTACTCTTTGCTAGGTGGGCAATTTTAGTTTGCACATGTTCTTTCATCTGCTATATATTTGAGAGTTTGTCTGTCTGTGTTCGAAAACTCCTCCTAAATGATAAGAGCTAGGACCACCAAATTTGGTATGCAGCTTCCTCGTCATAACTTAAAGCAACGTAAGTATTTGCTTGCACCAGAAAATGGGATGTGCCTGGAATGGGATTACGTCTCATAAAACCATACAGTAAAGCAGGGGTTGAGAATCTTTTCTGGGTCAGAGGCTGCTGACCCACAGAGAAATCAGTCGGGGGCTGCACACAAGTGAAAAGCCCCTGACTGAGGAGAAGAAAGACACTTCCCACATTCCTCTTACATACCAGAGCCTGGGGAGCCCAGGCTAGATTTTGTGTGCTCCAGCCCTGCAGGTAGGAAGCTGGGGGACTGAAGCACCAGCACAGGCTTCCCAATGCTGAACCTCGGAGGTCAGATCCAGGCAAGCCAGGGGCTGCATCCGGCCCTGAGGTTCCCCACCCCTGAAGTAAGGAGACAGCATCGCAAGGCAGGTGAAAAGGGCAGACGGGGGGCACGCCCCCCCATGTCCAGGACTATCCCAGTTCTGAACCTCATCCCACAGGTGCCCGTCAGGGAAGAAGAGGGGGGCCGACACCCTCCCTCTATTCACACAGGAACATTACTGGCTGCTCCCTTTCATCAGGGAGCAAAGGGAAAGTGCACAGTTTGTTGCATTCCTTACTATGGCTGGGGAGCGCAGGAGGGCAGAAGTCTGTACCTGGCTCCAACCTGGGGGCTCTCTCTCCCCCCCAGCTGACCCAGCTGGAGCTACAGCAGCCAAGGACAGACACTTCTCACCTGGCCCCAAGCTGGTGCGGGAACAGAGGGCTGGAGTTGTCCTCTCTCCCCAGGACAGCCTGCAAACTGACCCCCCTCATCTCCAGCCCCACCCAGAACAATGATTTATGAAACAGACATGTTCATTTTATTTTCCAAAAACCAAAAGTTGAGTTAAGGACCTGAGTAACACCGGGTAATCTTCTAGTCCTGCATAATAAAAAGTTCCATCAGTTTCACTTTCAAGATATATTAGCACAACCCTGAAGTACAGACCACAACCACAACACTGAGGTAGGGAAGTCAATGGTTAACTGGTGACCCACCCCTCCGGCCCAGCTGCCCTGTGTAAGTATTGAACCAGTTAAAAACATAACGTTTAACCAGTTAACAGGATTTTACATCTCTACTCTGAAGTGGATTAAACACAAACATCTCATTGATTTGTTTTCAAATTCAAAGGCAACTTATTTTCATAATAGAATTTTTTTTTTTTTTTTTAAACAAATTTTCAAAAGGTAGGCCTTGTAAAACAACTCAATTTCCCCTCCTCCCCCATTATGGTTTCTCTGTAAGATTCATATGGACTAACACTAATCAGGATCAGAAAAGCTTCAGAAAAATCAGTATTTGAGACTTTATAAATATTTGGCTCAAATATTATCTTAATTCGTTTTCTGGACCCCCATTTGCCTTGAGTGAGGCGGGATACTTTCCCCTTTAAATGTGCCAACACTGAAGTTACTAGACATTAAATCACAACAGAGGTTAACCTCCATCCCTTCAAGTTTCTA